TTATATAAATCAAATACAATTAATTACAATCTCAGTAAATCAAACTCTAGGTAATTCAATTCCCTATAATTCATTTTCTTTTCACCCAAATTTCACATTTGCAATCAAACAGACCCTTATAAAAGCACACAACAGCTAAATTGAAGCAATAGTTATATAGAAATATTCTTATGTGCATAAACCAGTTTTACAACCATGTTTGCCTAACATTTAAAAATCATTCATAAAACATACACAATCTCAGTATTGCAAGCAAATCCAATTTATTTGTATATATTAGCTTCAAATTTTCTTTCATTTTCATATCCCAAAATAAAACTACTTAAGAAATTCTTGTTTCTGATAATCTCTAGCGTGGAGATGATGAGAAAAAATGCCATTGATATTTTTATTCATTTTGACCTTCAAAATCCATTTTAATGGAGAAGTTAACGGATGTGGAGAGAGGGGGATCTTTGGCAACGTTTGGATGATTTAGGGGAAGTTTACGCCACAATGGAAGGATAGGGTGTATTTCACAAAACAGACAACTTTAGGGGGGGATTATGCAATTATCACAGCTAAATTTAATGGTTAGCTTTGATTTAGTTTTTTATCAATTCTTTTCATTAAGCATCTCCAAGAGACTTTTTACATATAATAAGATCATATCTATTTTAAAGAGTCGGCTCTTAAAATTATCATTTAAGAGTATTTCTAAGAGATTTTTTAAACATATAATACTCTCTATTTTAAAGAGTTTACGCTTAAAATTATGTAATAAGATACTCTTTAATTTAGAAAGTAAGTTTGGCTCTCCAAACCTCTCTAAATTAAATACATTCAAAGTATTTTAATTTTCAATGGATAAAAGTAATATAATAGTTTGAAGGGGAAGATAGTGAAAATAAAAGGATAGGAAAAAATAATAAATATTTTTTTAAAGTAGTAAAATAAGTGATAAATATAAAGANGTTGTCAACCGAGGTTGTACAATTAGCATGACTCTAAAATATATTCTAGAGACAAATGGATCCCATGAAGCATATATTTTAAAAATCTTAAGGCATGTTTGATAGGCTATTATTTTCCATGCAAAATGGAAAACAAATTCAAACTTCCACTTTTGCCTTGTTTGATATAGTTTTTTTTCCCATAGAATTCATTTTCTTGGTTTGCCTGACACAGTCATCTTTTCCTTGGTTTTGTGGTGGAAATTGATTTTTCAACTTTTTTTTTGGCAATTGAAAAATTTTTAAACACAATGGTAAAAACTTTTATCACTTTTATTGACAATTTCCATGCAAAATAAAGTCAAACGAATGGTATTCGGTATGGTAATTTTTTTAAAAAAAAATTGGCAATTGGAACAAATTTTAGACCTAATGGTAAAAAAAAATTATCACTTTAATGAACAATTTTCATAAAAAAACGAAGTCAAACGGATACCAAACTTTCAATATTTTCCGAGTGAAAAATTATACCAATCAAATACAATTAATTACAATTCCCAATAAAATAAATTATAGACAATTCAATTCCCTATAATTTATTTTCTTTCCACCAAAATTCCATATTTGCAATCAAACGGACCTTTATAAAAACACACAACAGCTAAATTGAAGCAATAGTTATACATAAATATTCTTATGTGCATAAACCAGTTTTACAACCATGTTTGCCTAACATTTAAAAATCATTCATAAAACATCAATATAAAAAACAATTGCAGCAATTTGGTCCTCTTAAAGAAGCTTGTGCTCATTCTTCTGAAATGGGAAAATGAAATAAAAAAACCAGAATTCTCCGATAAAGGTTCCCAAGTAATATAAAAAATTTGGCAAGGCATTTGATGAAAAGTGGCATTAAAAACAAGCTAAAAATATACCCTCATTTCTCTCTCTAGCCTACTCATCTTTCTCCCTTTGAAATCATACACAATCTCAGTATTGCAAGCAAATCCAATTTATTTGTATATATTAGCTTCAAATTTTCTTTCATTTTCATATCCAAAAATAAAACTACTTAAGAAATTCTTGCTTCTGATAATCTCTAGCGTGGAGATGATGAGACAAAAATGCCATTGATATTTTTATTCATTTTGACCTTCAAAATCCATTTTAATGGAGAAGTTAACTGATGTGGAGAGAAGGGGATCTTTGGCAACGTTTGGATGATTTAGGGGAAGTTTACGCCACAATGGAAGGATAGGGTGTAGTTCACAAAACAGACAAACTTTAGGGGGGGATTATGCAATTATCATAGCTAAATTTAATGGTTAGCTTTGATTTAGTTTTTTATCAATTCTTTTCATGAAGCATTTCCAAGAGACCTTTTACATATAATATCCTATCTATTTTAAAGAGTCGGCTCTTAAAATTATCATTTAAGAGTATTTCTAAGAGATTCTTTAAACATATAATACTCTCCATTTTAAAGAGTTTACGCTTAAAATTACGTAATAAGATACTCTTTAATTTAGAAAGTAAGTTTGGCTCTCCAAACCTCTCTAAATTAAATACATTCAAAGTATTTTAATTTTCAATGGATAAAAGTAATATAATAGTTTGAAGGGAAAATAGTGAAAATAAAAGGATAGGAAAAAACAATAAATATTTTTTTAAAGTTGTAAAATAAGTGATAAATATAAAGAGCCTATTGAAGTAGTTAAAAACTTTGCACTCTAAATTTGTAGATACTCTTTAAATTGTAGAATATGCTATTTAAAAATAGAGTCTCTTGAAAATATTTTGATATCTTCAAATTTTTATTTTGTAAAAGAGAGTGAGTTTAACTCTCCAAATTTACCCACTCTCTATAATTAAATACATTAAAATTATTTCAATTTTTTGTGGAGGTAAATAATGTAATAATTTGGAGGAAGCGAGTGAAGATAGGAAAAATAAAAAGTTTTTTTTTGGAAGCAATAAAATTAAATGTTAAAAATAAAAAGACTGTTGGAGCACATAAAAAATTTCTCCCTAAATTTATAAATGCACTCTAAATTGCTAAATATGTTCTTTAAAAGTAAAGAGTCTATTGGAGATTATGTAATAAGAGAAGATCTGGAATATATACCAAATTAATATTCTCTTTATGGTTTATTCTTTGGACTATAGTTGTGGTATGAACTTGAAACCTATACTAATCGACACAAGCACCTCTTAGGGTTCGAGTTAAAGGTGAATCTTAGATCTCGATAACATGTTAGAAGAATTAAGTAGTTATTTAGAATACGAAGTGATTGATCCCTCTCCCATCATACCATTGGAGGAAGAGGAATTCTCTCGAAGGTGTTAATGCAATTTGAGATCATATATAAAAGAAACAAAAAAATTATGAAAGATTGAGTGCTAATACACACATTTTATGATGTAGCGTCTATTAAATGTAACACAAAAGGCAAAAGAGTAGAAATTTTAGAACGAAAAAGTTTGAACATTACCATCCCACCTTTTTAGAAGACTGAGACTTCTCTCTAAGTCTTGACCCATTCATACTTTGTAGGGGTGAAAAGGTTCGCTTTTAAAAAACACTGAATCGAATCGAAAACCAACCATTGGATATTTTATAAATGAACCATTCATTCTATTGGTGACCATGAAATTGAATAAAACTGAACTGAATGGTTCCATTACAAATATTTCTAAATTACCGATGAAAACTTTTATCTAGCATAGCGTGGTTATGCGATCTAAGATGCTAATTTATATTAAGCCAATGTTTGGTCCCCATTTTTCTAAAAACTTATTTTTGTATTGCCAAAATTCATTTTCAAACACACATTCTCCTATAAAATAATTTTACACGTAAATTCAAAACCTTTCTTTACTTTTTAATCATAAATTCTCCAACAAAACATTATTCTAAAATACATTTTGGCTAAAAAATGGTGCTCAAACAAGGGCTAAATCTTTTTATATTATTTTTTTGTGAATTAATATTTTGATGATGATGGTAGTAGTTGTGGTGAGGACACTATGTCGAAGTGATCGTATTTGGGAGGTGATATTTGGTCGTGGTTGGGGGTGGATTAGCATTGGGGGTGGGGGTGGGGGTGGGGNNGGGTGGGGGTGGGGGTGGGGGGGGTGGAGATCACTTTTTTATATTTTTTTTACGTGTTAATATGTATTTAATTATTTAAAGTGAAAGTGTATTTATACTTTTAAAAAATTATATGACTTCATTTGTAATTTTTTATTTTATTTTATTTTTTTGTTTATGCAACTACTTTCTTCTATTTTTGTTTATTTAAAGGTAATATTTCGTTTAATGATCAAAATGAAGAGAAACGGAGTTTTGTTATATAATTGAAAGGATGATGATATATTATCCTAAAAAAAAAAAGATTGAGGACAAATTTCGCAAAAGACGGAGACAATAAATGCAAATTGTCGTATTATTACTGAATTGTGAAAGATGAATTATGTTACTTGTACAATTTTGATTGACAACTTCGTAAGACAGCATCACATTCATCCATTTTAAAAATGAATTATTCTATTTGTACCTAAACATTTGTACCGAAAGTTGTCCTTGTTCTCACAATGCAAGCTGACCCCATGTGAATATAAAAATTCCAAAATGGTAAAATTTTAGGTAAGTATAGTATTGTCCTTTAAAAATTATTTTTTAAATGAACAATTCAAATTTTGATAACATCAAAGTTGTCAACAATGATTATCAACAACGATTATTAAAATAGCTTAATGGGTGAAAGAAAGATAAAAAGGAATGACAAAAGGACTGGTCAAAGTTGGCAGTGAAAGACGAGTGGGTGGCCATTTGTGTGGTATTATTGTTGTCAGTGTATATGAAGACTGTGCGGCTCTAAAAGCCTGCCTGGGCTTTTAAGTTTCTCATCACATTCACAGGCAGGACTCAAGACTGACGAGTTATTGGTTAGTGGCCAAAATTTACATTTTTTTTTTGTCTGACAAAAGGATGTAAATAGTGGGGTATTTTCAGCTTTTCCCCTTTTTATCCCATTTGCTCTGCGATCGCAGGGCTCCGGCATCTCTTCTTGTGCATTATGGTCCATGTTTTCTGTCGTTTATTTGGTTCTCATCTTTTGTAATTTCCAATTCAAGTCCTTGATCTTCCAGTTCATGTCCTATTGATCCTCAATCTCTGAATTAAGCACCATATCCATCCTTTTAGCTCGGTTTTCGTACCTTTTCTCCATAATCACATTTCAATGGAGGTGGACACGATTCAATTTGAATGGTTTGTGACAAAATTTTAAGAAATATCACTTAAAGTGATTTGAATTTTTTTTCAAACCAAATTAAACCACTTCAAATTCTAGACCAAACAAATTCAAACCATTTTTTTCAGTTTTGTTCACTAAAAAAAAATAAAAAATACATATATCAAATAAGTTAAATTATAAATATTAGTTTAAAATTTCATGTAAAACATAAATAGTATCATTAAAGCCCCTGTTTGACACCCATTTTTTCTCATTCTCATTCTCATTTTTTTTTCTCTTTCTTCATTTCAACCACACATTCTATCAATAAAATAATACTACACATAAACCCATAAAATTCTCATTACTTTTTAACCACAAATTCTTCCATCAATCACTATTCCAGAATTTATTTTTTCTCCAAAATGGGCGTCAAACAGGGGCTAAATGCCAAAAATTAGGGAAA